GTTTAGGCGGGAGCATCATGGCTTTGGTGCCTAAACAGCGAACAAACACATCGCCGTCCAAACAGCAAAAACAAAAAAGTCAAAACAGCAAGCAAAAACGCCCCGGCCCAAACAGCCAAAAAAGCGGACGCCCAAACATTAAAAAGGACACACACGCCCCCGCCCAAACAGCAACAAAAAACACCCGAGCCGCCCAAGCAACAAAAAAGACCAGAACAAAAAACACACTTGCCGACATTGGTGTTGGGGCCTAGCTCAGCGTTTCACTGTATCCAGGACATCTCTTGCATTGGAAGTGGTTGGTGAGGATACCTTGTGGAGCACTGCCCAGGCATCCCACGGATAGCGCTCAAGTCGATGAGTGTGTAGGGTGAGGCAGCAGATTCTGTCCAGCTGACAGGTCGCTGTGGTGACACAGGTGGGAGCCTGGTACAACGTTTGCAGCGTCACCAAGGAGGACTACTGTCCTAGGCAGGAGCTCCTGGACATGGACAGAGATCCAGCAATCCAAGTCTTCAAGGACACCGCTGGTCTGTGTGCTCAGCATCCCTGCTCGTCAGACTGCCGAAAGACAGGATGAGATGGAGGAGGTTTTCGTTCTGATGGACAGCTTCTGCACAGGTGGTGGGCGAGCTGCCGTACTTGGCTGCAATGTACAGCTTCCTGCCTGCACACGACGACTGCGCTTGTTTGCGGGCACACTCTCTTCAAGCCTGAATCAATTTTGCTGGGGGCTACCTTTTCTGCGAGTGCACTTCATTTTGCAGGGACAGCAGTTATCTATCAGATCGGACTAAGGACGATCTCATGGACCAACGGTGTGCGGGACAATGAGAACTTCCAGGTCACCTTACTGAAAAATAGCGTGTGCATTTCTTTTGGTGTTTTGGGGCTAAGCTCGTCCGCCAAGACGTTACAGGAGCAAGCGACACCAAGGTCATGAATGCTTACATCGAACAAGCCATGGCCAGTCGGCAGTCCTCATCCTTCCGTTTGATTGACTTCTTCAGACTTGGCGGTGCCATGCCAGAAGAGGCGGTTCAGTCATGTCAGTCAAGTCTGTCTTCGAGTATCATGCCGCAGAGCGGCACAGTGGACCGTCGGAGTTGCATTGCTGCAGGTGGTCAATGGCCATGGATCCCAGATGTTGAACCTTTGGGCATCTGGGCGCCAGGTTTCAGGAAGTGCATTTGTTGCACGTGCTTCAACTATCAGACCTTGCTGGCCTTACAAGCCATCAACCTCAGGTCTGGACCGTTATGCTCAACTCAATGTGCCCTGCAGATCTCGCAGCGCGTGGCAGCTACGCCGTGTGGGAAGGAAACCTTTGCTCCGGAACAGAGGCCAGTGCCTGCTTTGTAGTGGCTTTCTGTAAGACCTTTAACGGCTAAGATGGGCTAAGTCTGCAAAACTGTCTGACAGGCACGCTTTGAGAACTGCCCAGACTATTACCCGAGCTGCTTGGACGGGCCGCGCTGTGAGAAATGGGAATGCATGAACAGCGTCCCTTGCACTTTGACTGCCGGAGATCCTCCGATGGCAGGGGACACGGAAGGCCTCTGCTCCGACCCCGTGAACATCACTGGCTTTCTGACCGCTCCAATTCTCATGGACGAACTTACAGACTTGGATGCTTGTCACAGAGGAAGTCTTCGGATCCGTTTGTGGTGTTGGCAGGACGTCGAATGGTTGTTACCACTGCTCAGCGTCTGTGCAGCGATAGTTGCTGAAGCAGCCCAGTATGCTTGGGAGAAATACGGGTCAAAAAAGACTGAAAGCGCTGGCAAGGGGTCCAAGAAGCCAGAAAGTGCGGAAGCGAAGGGCGATTCTCTGCCTGCGGCGGCAGCGGCGGTGGCTGATGCCTCGGCTGTTGCTGTGAAAGTTCACGATGAGCCTAGTGCCATGCCAGAGGTGCAAGGAGAGAGCCAGACAGACGGAGCTGAGAATCCAAAGTCAAGAGCCGCCACTGGTGAGCTGGCTGATTTGACTGACATTGCCGCCGTACCCTCTGCACCGTCACCAAAGAAATCGAAAAGCCACTACTCCCTTGCAGCATCTGCTGCTGCCTCAGACGCCCATGGTGAGCTGACGGACGTGGTGTCTGCCGCCCCCTCCAAAAAGAAGACAAAGAGCCACGTGGAGCTGGACGTCAAGTCGGAAGCTGCGCTGGAGAACAAAGGGAAGAGTGAGGAGAAGGGAGAAAAGAATGAAGAGGAAGTTCCAGTCAAGATGCATCTGCCTCCTGCAGAGCCTGCAGAGGCTCAAAAGGTAGAGACTTCTGCAGACAGGTTGGCGCAGCTTATGCAGACACGAAAAGCTGGCAACAAGTACCCGCTTGGCCTTGCAAGATTTATGGGTTCAACTCACGTTGTCCTGGGTCACCTCTTCGCAAAGGGAGTGACGCACCCTGTTTACTTCTTTGGATGGGGCTTTACATGGGTGCCTTGGTTCTTCATGCTCTCTGGCTTTGTGCTTTTCTCCGCCTATCTGAAGAATCCGAAGGAGGAGACAATGATTCAGTACGTTCTGCGCAGGAGCACTACGATTTACCCATTATACGCCTTCTCCCTGATTCCGGCCTTCATCATGCAGAAGAGCTTCGGAACCATGTCTGCCGAGTGGCCAACCTTGCTTGCACAATCTTTCTTGCTACAGGCATGGTGGCCAACTTTCACAGAGAATGCGCTGCAGATGCATTGTTGGTTCCTTAGTTGTATGGTCGTCTATTGGTTCTTCTTCAAACCGTTGGCCTACGTCCTGAAGAACATTACTTTGCTGAAGACAAGCCTGTTGATGGCTTTCTTCTTCTTTCTGCCTTGGCTTCTGGTCTTGATTCCGGTGATGGCCAACCAGCCCGTTGATTGGTACAAGGAGCATGTCTTCAACCGCACCGACACTGCCCTGAACATTGGTGTTGTGATGCTGAAGTTCCATCCAGTTTGCTACTTCCACGTCTTCATTTTGGGCATGTTGTTGGCCAAGCTCAGACAGCTTCTTGACAAAAAGGCCGTGGCTTGTGGTCATGCTGCAGACTCCTTTCGAAATCCATACCTCATTGCACTGCAATTTGTGGCACCGCTCGGCTATTTGTTCTTGATCCTGGTCTTCAGTGTCGAGGGCTTTGAGGCTAAGCTCTGGGGCTACAAGCTCTCTGCCAGAATCTCCGTGCTTCTGCCCTTTCAAGCCATGATATTATTTGGGTTGGCGGGGTTGCCGAGCCTTCCACTGCCACTCTTCTCCTACGCCTTCTCGCGGCTTGGCAGTAAATGCAGTCAATTCTGATCCCCTCCCAAAGAAGAGGCTAAGCAGATTTCTAGGCAGATTCGCAGAATTGCCCGCACGTAAGGAAATTGGACTTCCTTGAGAACTATTCATATGCCGTGTACGTCTTCCAGTTCCTGTGCTATGCGGTGTGGCCGCAAACTGGTCTTGTAAACATGCCGCTCTTCATGATCTTCACCTATGCATCGGCAGTCGTCATTGCACGAGGCATTCAACAGCCCATCCAGAAATGGTGGGCATCTCATACCACCTCGCGACTGTTCGTGCCATTCATTCTTGCTGCCTGTCTCGTTGGCTTCAGTTTCCTTCCAGATCCAGCGGCTGATTCAAGCATGCCAGACATCCCAGCTCAGCAATGGATTGACGATCGTACCAAAGACATGCGCCTGGAGTTATCTGACGCAGAAGGCCAGCACCTGGGAGCTATGGTTATCAACCCGTCGTTGGTTATTGCTGATGATCAGGTCATTGTTGTTGCAAGGCGGCACAGGAGAGAGACCACGCAGAGCAATGGTCGCTTCAGTGGTCCAGAAGGAGAGGGAGATGCGGTTTTCATCAACCAGATTTGGCACTCGGATGTGCTCATTGGCAGCCGTCCTTTGGATGCCGCGCTGTGGGAGCAATGGCCTTCCCAAGGCCTCAGCCCTTTGGCCGGCCTGCCCGTGCAGATTTGGAGCGGCCTCCGAACTTCTGAAGGCTCGGAAGCTCAGAAGATCTCAACACTCTAGTGATGTGCCATAGTTTCCAGATTGCAGACCATGTCAAATGCAAGGTGGCAGGTGGGAGGACTTATGCATTGGTGAGACGTGGATTGCCAGCAACAACACGTTGATTCGCCATATCGTCACTGGTCCTGAGGATCCGAAGGCGCGTGCTGGGAGATCATGCTTTTAGAGCGCTTTCAGTCTCATCAAACCTGCTGAATCCGATGGAAGCACATCAGGTTGTGAGTCGCGCCGATAAATTGACGCTGGCCTTTGATTCGAAGCCTCCCCATGGTGGTGATACTTCCATTTGTCGTAAAAACAATCAAGGCAGGTTGGCATCAACAAGAACTTGCTTTCTTGGTGGGATCCCATGCTGATGTTGCAGGTTTTGCAGATGCTGTGACTCAGATGTGACTTGGCAAGCACAAGGTTCGTGCACGGCCGTGTATTGTATCATGATGCCCAGGTACCTGTCCGAAGGAGTCAATCATGCAGAGCTCGGAACTCCCACGGCTGCTTTCCGGCTGACATATGGACAAACGGATGTTGCGGAGAAGTCGCTCAGCAGCACAACTCTTGTCAACAAGCTTGTAATCGTTGCATGTGGCAGCTTGTCCTGATGACGCAATCCAAGGAACTGGATCCCATTCGTGTACCAAGATTCCACGTATTTCATATATACTCCACTCCCGCACGTTGTGCTCTCATCAGAAAGCAATGGCGAGAGTGAGAAGGTCCCAAAGCTGATAGCGAACCAAACTTCTCACAGCCAGACACCCTGTGAGGTCTTCAGCACAACTTTCCGGCCGCTGCAGCGTGTTATCCAAGAAAATCCTCACGTCAGGCATGCTGCAGCCGGAAACCGCTGCCCAATGCATAGGAATCCGAGCCTGGACAGGATCCGAGGTTCAGCGCAAGCAGTGTTCGTGAACAACACGAAGGTCACTGTGGTCCTGTTGGGCGCGATCTGCCAATGATTGCATGTTTCCGAGTCTTTCACTTTCTGATTATTGGCTGAATCGCTTGCACGGATGCTTTGTAAACATTTGCTTTCTATCATTCATCTCTGAACAGACTGCTATGCTTGTGACAACTTTTCTTTTCTCACGCTTGAGTGTGCAGACCGGTGCTGGGTGCAGGCTCTGTGCCTTTTGTGTTCCGTGGCTTTCGGTGTGCACTGTTTTTCTAGCTCGTGTTTCTTTGCAGCAATTTTGATGGGGGCTCTTCAGAGGGCACTTCACATCTAGGAAATCACTGCATGTTGCAGTTTGGCCTGCTGCCTGTCATCTTTTGATGTCTCTGACTATGATTGCCAAGATCGGTGCCTCTACTACTACTACTACTACTACTACTACTGTAAGCTACTCAGCTACTCGTTGCAACGTTGTTAACCGTTGTTACTACACTTAGCACTACATCACAAGTTCTAGCCTTCCGGTTGTTGGTAAGACCACTCGTTGCATTTTCAGTTTCTTGGTCCTGTTGATCGTAGTACTGCTTGTGTCACTAGGGCTTCCCATGTTACCACTTGAGTTCATCTCTTGTTTTCATTGTTAACCAGCTTGATTGACTTCAACAGTCTGTTAAACCATTGCACTACCTCAGTATGTAGCATCGTAGCAGTGTTGCAGTTTGCTTGATGTTATCTTGATAAGAACAAATCCAGCACACAATTTCTAACCGATGTTCACGTCACTCTGGCACGCGTGGTCAGCTTGTAGACAGAGGTAAGGGCGTTGTGGTGGATGGCGCATACAATTGTGTGCCTGATGGGGATTGTTTCTAGATTCTAGGGGATTGCCTTGCTCTTCTTGGTGTCTTTTCTTCGTGCGAGCTCTGCCCACTGAATGTTCTTTGGTCCTGGGGAGGTGACGCTCCCTGTCCAGCCTCCAAAATGCTAAGAATGCTTCAGTGCGCAGTTCTGGAGCTCCGGCAGGAAAGACTGTAAGGCTTCACATTCACAAGCCTGACTGGGTTGGAGCACGTACAGCTGTGCACGCAAATTCTTCCTGCTCATCAAGCACAATCGTTCATATGCCAGTTCTGAAGCCACATGTGGAGATTGCTGCTGATGCTGCTGTAGAAGCTGTGTAGTGGCTCCAGTAACGTAAGACTCAGGTCGCATAGGTCGTAGATGTGCTCAGTGAAGCCCTCCACGTTTTTGTCTCGCCAGAATGCAGTGCCGAACGTCAAGATAGGATGATATGAGACACCTGGAGGCAACGCCCAGCCTTGCACGGCCACACTACCTGGCCTTGTTGCACATTTTCGACACCTCTACTGGAAGCACGGGCCCTAAAGACCTCCATCACTGGTATGAGGCTTGTTGCCAAGTCATGTTGCTGTGCTCAGGATATGCCCACCATGCGTTGGGACCTCACGTCTCTTCAGGCTTAATTGGGTGGATTATGCCACGCCAGCTAAGGTACCGCTTTGGTGCTGAGCCGCCCTTCATGATGCTCCAGGTCTCGTCTCAGCTGCCCTTGACAGAGGCGGCAGCCACTCCAGGCACGCAGCGAGATTTGGTGCAAAGCATGGGCCGTTCCCATCCTGTCGGCCTCGCTGCCCAGATCTGTCCAAGGTGGTGTGCCTTTTGCCTTTGCAAGTGGCCTTGCAGTCCAAGACCTAGATGCAGAGCTTGATGTCCGGACAGTTGACAGCAGTGAAGTAAGCTGAAGGTGCACAAGAACACCGTTGCCATCACCTACGGCGCAGGAGACCGTGACGCCAGAGCATTGGTATTGACTTTAGACAGGCGGAGCTCAGCTAAGCATTAGCAGCTTCAAGCCAGTAGGAACAGTGTCTCGCTCGCTGCAGGCTTGACGAGATGTTTGCGTGCTCTGCCTATGCTGATGATGCCTGAGGGTAACTTGCCTTGCCTTTCGGCAAACCACTAGCGTACTGTACAGATTCCTTGCTAAAGTGAGCGCGGGAGATCGGGAAAACTCGATGATTCCTGTGCTCACAGAGCCTTGTTGGGCTTGTGTCTGCATCCGTTTGCTTTGGCAATGGATGCAAATTCGCTTCGGCGCATGGGGCAGGCGAGCGGCTTCGGGCTGTGGCAGACAGCTGCTCAAACAACCCCGGATCTTTACAGAAGAATCTTGGCTTACTGCCTGACTGTGCATGTCGTCATGGAGATGGAGGCAGGGTGAGATGCAATGTGCTGTTGTTCTAGCGGATTCTAGCGCTTTGTGTGACTTGCTTCAGCCAGGGAATCTGACCAGGCTTCATTCCAACTGGGAGTGGAGGGGGGTGCTTGGGCGGTTGCTAGGCTGCTAGGACAGGCTCCCCAAGCCATAGCCGTTTTGGCAGGGGCATGGTGTGGGCGTAATGGAAAATTAAGATGCATCTCATGGTGGAAAAGCAGGGGCTGTCTCTAAGCGCATCAGTCCCGGCCGGGGCAGGGAAATGCTTGGGTAGTGTCGGGATTGCTCATGCTCTTGTGAGGCACAGATACCTGGACGCCCAAAGGGAGACTGGGAGCAACAGTATGATTTGGAGATTTAGGAGACAAGATGTTTGAACACAAGCTGTGGTCGCAACTGAATTTGAGCATATTTGAGCCCTTGGTGTTCGACCGAGGACCTTGGGATCACGCCTCCGTAATTATGCTTTGGCCAGCTTTCAGCCTGATGATCCTTCTGTACCTTCCCTGGAGCTGGTCGTGCACTTCCTTTCTTTGAGGCTGACGTGACTCAAACGTTGCTGCAATGTCACTGAGGCAAAGATGATCGATCAGGTGAAAAACTGAAAAAGCAATTTTCCTTCCGTCCTGAAACACGACCGACCGAAATTCTGAAGGAGATATGTTGTTTGAACTGTCATAGCTGCTTGTTTCAGGGCGAACAGTATGATGGCAAAGATACTCTGAATCTCGCCAGCTCAACATGGGTCACGGGAACCCTGGTTGAGTCCGCCGGTCAGCCGAGCTGCTACAAATGCAGGGTTGATCCAGCTAGACCTGAAGACGGCTGCCCTACAGCGGACGCCAAAAGCAGAAGCCGCATGATTTTCTGGTTCTGCTCGATACCTGCAATTTCCAACACGCTCCAAGGTGCCGACCGAGGCTCAAGTTTTTCAGCTTCAAACAGTCAAGAGCAACTTGGGCAGCGCTTTGTATTCCATCTGGAGTCTTACAACCCAAATTTACATCTTGATCAACTTGCCATGGACCCTCCGGCAGAAGAGGCCGTGCGTGAAAAGGGGCAGATGCCATGAGTAGGCAGTTGGAGTTACAAGTGAGCCCCTCAGCAAGTAATCGAACTTCCATCATCCCTTTTTCAAATGCCTTACTAGTTTACGAGGACAACTTCTTGGAATTCTTGGAAGGTGGATGCAGGCACAAGGGGTTTCAAGCCAGAGGCACTACTCAACTAAGCACTCCTTCACCCAGCTTCATTCAAAACAGGTTGGGCTTTAAGCTTGGACACATGTTTCTTGGGAAGCCAAAGCTTGAGGTGGGAGAGACCGTGTATGAGTAGTGGGTGAGTTGAATTGAGGGGAAATGCAAGGCCAAAGCGGAGCTTCGTCTGCTTCAGCGCAGACCTCCCGTGCGAGGTACCGCTGAGAATGAGGTCCGGCTGGGTTTGGACAAGCCTTTTAGAAGCCTTTTTCATCTAGGCAAAACCAGATGCGTTCACCGTGTGTGACAACATGGTTTCTGAAAGCATCAGCTTGCTTCATCTAAGCACGATGCCTCTTTGTAGGTCTATGTGGCGCACCATCAGAGCCTTGCGGTGCTTTTCAAGCGTATCAGGCCCGGAGGTTGGTTGTTTCTTGGAGCTGCTCTGCTTGTGATTGACCAGGCGGCTCCTGGACTGTGGCCACAAGGAAGTACTCGTTCATGGTATGGGAGCAAGCATCACCAAAGCGATATATGTGGTGCAAGACATTCTACTCCATTATGGTGATCAGATACAGCTAGAGACACGGCATGGAACCGTGGACGTGGTGGATGACGTAATTGGGGAATGCGAGTCCTCTGTGCAGGAACGCAGAGTATCTGCGTTGATTCTACATCTCCGGCTTGCCGAACCGGAGAGTGGGAATGTAGGCGCTGCCCTCAAACCAAGGATTTCTTCTTGGTTGAGTAGGGTCGCCAAACCAGAACAGAAACTCTCACATGAAGATTTGAATCGCAAGTAGGACAAAGGAAAAATTGCCTCATCTCATCCATTTCATTTTTTATCTTACATGTTGGCGTAGGTCACGCTCCCCACTCTTTTGGAGCTCTTAAATCTCCGTGGATAGGCATGGCCGACCTAAATTCTCGAAGAATCTAGACCTCCCCCCCCGGGTGAGGGTGCCGTGTGTCAATCTTTCCGTATTTCGGTCTGTCATGCTGATGGTCTGTCGGTCTATCAGTCTTACGGTCTGTCGGTCTATGCGTCTGTCATTCTGTCGATCTAACGTTTTCATACGTTTTCTGAAGTCTGTCTGTCTGTCTCTTAGTCGGTCTTTCAGTCTATCAATCTATCCGTCAAGCGGTTTGAAAAAACCGGGGCAACAACCTCTCATTCTTTCAATCAATCCATTTATTGGCGAGGCAACCGGCGTTTGGCTCTTTCCGTATGGCTATCTATCAATCTGTAGGTCCAATGATTTCTCGAATTTATCAATTTCTCCCATATTTGCTGCGCGTGAAATTATTGATTTGACTTATCCTGTCTTGCGGCCTCACTCTCATTCAGAGAATTTAATATATCGAAGATTATTTGATTATGATATATATATATATCTATATTCGTGATTTTTATCGATCGAATAAGGCGAAATTGAAATAATTTCTTTTCAATTTATTTCTGCTGTTTGGAAATATTACGCTCGCGCGTGATTTAGTTTTTCTGAGATTTTCAGTGCGATTAATATAATTAAATTATCGGAGATTTTAATTAAATGGCTCCTTCTTCTAAAATGATTTCTTGCATGATTTCTTTTTCGTTAATTTTATATGCGATTGATTGATATAATAAAAAGATTTTGGATAGTTGGGAATTCAAAATCTTTTAGAATTTAATTATTGATTGAATTTATCTATGGAATTTCATACGAATTCTCGACTCATTACGTAGATAATCTAAGAGAACTGAATGAAATAGAGAGGATATATTGGATACGGGGGGGGCAAGATACGGGCGTAAGATACGGGCGTAATATGAGTAGATTTTTTTTTGGAAATTTGCGCGGTATTCCGAGATATAGGAAGATCTGCATAGAATTTAAAATTTTTTCAGAATTTATAGGATGGTCGCTTTTGGCTTTAGTAATAATTCATATTATTTTTTGCATTCGCATTTTTTTCCCTTTATTTATTATTTATTCATTAGGCTAGTCGTTATAGAAACTGCCATATTCTCTTCTATAATTAATAAATTAATTGAGATTTTAAATATATTCTATATAATATTCTTATACTATCTTTCGTTCAATATCTATATTGTTTCATTCAGAATGAAATTATATTTTTTATTGATTATCATTTTCGAATGATTTCAAGCGCTATATTCTCTTATTTAGGCTTATATAATATCTTAAGGAAATCGATATATAGATAAAATATATGATATTATAGAGGAGATTCTAATCGATTATCTCAAATACTTATTCGAATATTATAAATTAGATTTTTAGATATTGAAATATCTCTATAATATGAAAATAGAAACGAAAATTGATAATTATTATTCTTAATGAT